ACGACTTTTAAAATGAAATTTCGATGAAAAGTAAAATAAATCATGAATAAAAGTAATAAAAATTGAAATGTGAGAAAAATAAACAAAACACCGTTTAGGTGTAGTGATAGTTATTTTTATGATTGTACTTAAGGTTCTCAATTCAATCTTTATAGTTGTATCTTTATTGTTAATTTTTAAGGTAACGAAAAATCAAATATCTGCTAGATGTAAGATTCAAACCTGAAACCTATAGTAAATCACGATTTAATCCAACTATCTGAACCGTATCAACCAGGTTTGATATGTGTTATCAAAATGTTTGAGAGCACTAATCAAAATCAAACGTGTACGTCTAAATTATTTTCTCTTACAAATATCGAGCGAGTAGGAGCATGGGAGCCCGCTCGACCCTTAATAGGTCCGCCTCTGGTTGCTATGGATTTGGCTTGAACCATAACCAACAATAAGTGTATTAAGATCAAATACTAACAAATATTACAACAATTAAAATCAGAGTTAAAACAGGTAGATTGGAGGATCAAAAACTCGAAAATAACACTGTGACTACGAGTGGCTTTCTTAATCACTCTTGTTTCACTAAAAGGGTGTTTAGTCAGAGGTATTAAGTAGTAATTAATGTAAATTAAAATAAAAGAAACTATTTGGTATTATATAATATAATGAGTTTATCCCCCCATAAGTCTAAAATTTCCATTCCAGATTGAACTGGGGTGATGAAAATTCATTTCCATTTTATTTTTTTGTTATTTTCATATTCATTTCCATTTTCATTCTCCAACATGAACCACACAGCTCCTAAATTTGATAGGAATGGATGGGATTAGGGGAGTCGTAGGGAAGAAGAACGATGTTGGACTGACCGAGAAGATGAGCCCAAGACCCAAGTAACTAAAACAACATTATTGGGCCTGAGTTATCTTGGCCCAAAGTTTGGGTCATGAATTTCTTAAGTGGCAGCAACAAACACTTGTTATTATAACTTGCACACATCAAGCACAGTTAAATGCAAATCCATCTATTAATTTACTACTTATATACATCAATATCAACTTTTTATATTTTTAATGTATGAATGGATTAAATGCACATCTACTTGTTAATATCATCATCACACACATCAACATTAAGAAAAACAGATAGTAAGCGATGCGTTTTAGTGAATAAAATCTTACCCGGTAAGTAAGCGATAGTGTTGAATTTTACCGGTAAGTGTTTACCGGGCAAGTGTTTTGGTAAACGACCTCTTACACATAATCCCTAGATCGGTCAAATATCCAAACGTCATTCCAATTATTACCAAATATTAGACATAACTTTGTAACAATATAACTAAATTTTGTCTTCTCAAGATATAACCGAGCCTACTTCATATTTCACCTGTGATACATGTAATAAAATGATTTTTCAGCAACTTACACGGTTTACCTATTTCAAAATTTCTTTAGCAATTTTTATAAATATACCATAATTACATAAGTAACATAGTTTCTTCATGCATATTCACATAACATAATGTGCATTCGTTCATAACGTGTGTGTCGTTATGACCACAATTTAGTCCCCGTGTTAGAGGATTGGGATCAAGTTCAAGACCCCACGGAATAAAAACCGCCAACATGAATTTACAATTGTTAACCTTCATATTGCCGAATAACACAACCAAGAACTCGAGCGTGTCATTTTAACCTGTTCATCTGCCGATTTTGACTGTAACAGCTAATTTTCAGGTCTAGATGTTAGTATGATAAGAAACCGCAAGTGCATTAACGGATAAAAAAACTAAGTGGATAGAGTTTGGGATATACTGAAACTTAATGTAAGTGCATTCTATGAACAATAGACTTCCGGTTAAGATCAAGCCCAAATGGACTCTGTAAAAAAACGATGTTAATCGGCATAACTAATTTATTAATCGGTTATTGATCAAGTGCCATCAATCAAAGCCAAAGTGTTATAATACAATCATAAGTAAAGAAGTATATAGAACTAAATGTGTGTGTGTATATATATATATATATATATATATATATATATATGCATGGATTATTTATATCTAATTGATGACTAACTTGACCACCGTCAGGTGTTCTAACACAGTAACATGTTAATAAGTGTGAAATATCGTGGTTGAATCTCATTTCACCACCGGATTAGGGACGAATTTT